CAAAAGACTTACCTGTTCACCAGGAGATGTGTATGTCATGTCTGTTCGAGTAAGGGTGTGTCTGTACGTGTAGGCAGTGTACCTGTTCGTGCAATGGAAAGTGCCTGTTCAAGTAGTAAATGTGTCTGTTCGTTTAGAGTTGTGCCTGTCCGAAAGTGAAGTCAGTAGGCACAGTCCCAGTTCTGGTCTAAGTCAAGGGGTCAGTCCAGATCCAGACTTTCAAGTCCAAATCCAGGCCGAAGTGCCTCAGCAGCACTTGAATCTCATTGGGACTGTACTGGGACACATGCAATGCAGGGTCTGGGACAAAGGGAGAGGCTGATTTGAGCCAATGCAGACCCAGCGAGGAGTGGCCAGCACTATAAAAAGAGCTGCCTGCCTCATTCTTCGCCAGATCTCCACTGGCTGCAATGCGTGGAAGTGCTGGTGCACTTGTGCGCTGAGTCAGGAGGAGCAGCGCTGGAGGAGAAGACGCGCTGGAGGGAGGAAGATGCCTGTACGCTGGAMGTGATGCAGCCATAGCTGCCCAGCGAGTTAGCATTAGTAGTAGAGGGTTAGTACGTAGCTATGAGTAGTATCCAGAGTAGATCCTCATGAGTATTGAAGTGTGTGTACGCATCATAGGAGGAAGGGATTGAGGCTGAGAGTGTTCATTCAAGGTTTGGCTATGGAAGGTACTTACCTGAGTTGGTTGTGACCTGCAGAGGTGGCGCTGATGAGTAGTGACCACGTTGATGATTTGGAGACTATCTGCAAGGGTAGCACTGATTCACTGGAAGGCATATTGATGAGTTGGCAAGATATTGGTGTTGCGCTGATGAGCCCTGGACTCAGGGGAATTTTGAAACACTTTGTATTCATATTTATGATAATATAAACTGTGAAACTCGGTCCTCATCTTCTCTATCTTTGTCTATTGTCAGACTACTGTTCATTGTGTGTGGGAGTACGATGCATGGCATGTACACACTTGCGTGAGATGGTCCCCAGGACCCATGCACTGTCAGACTGTCAGACTACTTGTTACGGACTCGGCCAGGGCTCGATCCCTGGTCCGCAGGTTACCACCTGCCAGGCTGCTATTTTATTTTTGAGTCTCTGATCTCCAGTTCCTGACTGTTGGCGCCCTCTGCAGTTGGCGTTCTCAAATCCCTCCTCAGTCACTTTCAGATTTCGATACTTGGCGCCATCCGGCATTCTGGCGCCCAGGCCCAGACCTTGGCTTTTCAGTTCAGCCCCGAGGCAAATTGCACTTCTGCCCTCGGAATCAACTTGAGTCCGGTACTTAAGACCAGCTCAAGCTGAGTTCAGGCATTCAGTTTTCGGCCTCAGTGTTTGTGCTTCAGTGCTGCGACATTGTGTTCCGAACCCGAGATTGCGACTTTGCGACTTTGCCACTTTGTCACTTTGTGTCTGCGTCCATATAGTCGTCTCGAGTCCGTGTCGAGTTGCGTGTGTGTGCTCTCGCTCCCCCCTCTCTCTCTTCCCCAACCTCGCTACTCTGCCTCGGCCCCGTCACACTGGTATCGGAGCGGCTTTGGCCCTCCCTCCCGCCCTGTTCCA